TCCTTTATTGGCCACTAACAAACTTCCATACATATTAACATAATACCCAAAATATTCCTTTATACGATTGTGTTAGCAACCAAAAGAATAAATCAAAGTAGAATGTAATATGCACAAAGTTACCATTGTGCCTCAAGTCTAAGGACCAATCATGTACTATTGTAACATGAAAATACTTATTCGACAAGACAAATCTTTCATTAAGTATTTTCATACGTTCATATTCAGTGAACTTATTCTCTAACAATCACTCACATATATGTACTTGCGTCCCACGCTAATGTTGATGGAATGCAACATTCTTGTCCAACAAGCATACATACTATGTGCAATTCTTTTATGGATTATTCGATATCCCATCTCCAAACATCCATCGAATTGGAACTTTATTTAAGATCACTGCTTTCAAGGTATGTTCCATGATCACCATCTCTATGCGCAACCATACCTTATAACATATGTGATCTAGGGATTTTATCTTAAGTGCAATTATATGATAAATGCTTACTCTTAAGATAAAGTAATGCCTTTTAATTAATATAATTCCAATAGATTGTATTTACAAGTAGAATACATCCAATCAGATTGGAACGCCGGGTATACTACTCTAACAGGCGTGGCACGACCGTCACTTCTTCCTAGATCCAGGTTGAGTTCTCTACAGGTTTCGTCAAGCTAATGACGTTAAACAAGCGCTTCTTGGGAGGCAACCCAAGTGATTTACTGCTTTCGTAGATATTTTCTTTTATGCTTTTTAGTTTTATTCTTTTATTAATGGGAGTTTTGGAGTTTTGTGATTTTCTTGGCAGGTACGAGATTACGAGCTCGAGCATGAGAATTGGGTTGAATGAGGACTATCGAGGTTCTGAGCTAAGCATAGGGAGCGACTTGCACGTGAATGTTCTCCTCGAGACGTTTCGGTTTGCACACCCTGGTGTAGAATAATATTAGTATTATTATTATTGCTATTATTATTATTATTATTATTATTATTATTATTATTATTATTATTATTATTATTATTATTATTATTATTATTATTATTATTGTTGTTGTTGTTGTTGTTGTAAGTGCTTAAGATTGGCAGTAAATCGATGAACCTTCGGGATTCTCAGCAGTCAGGAAACCGCGAGTTTAATTAAGGGAAGTTTGATTATAGTTGAATTAAATTTCTGTTATATTATATATTAAATATCTAATAGCGTATGGTTGTATTGGGCAGGTCAATAAAATCAAGGATGGGATATAACTTCCTTAAATGCGTGAAAGATAGATCGCCGGCTCCAAGTGTAATGACCTACCATATATATATTTGACTTGGGGACTTACCATTCTGAAACCGGAGGATAAAAGGAGCTTGATTCAGATCCCGTTTGTTTATCGATTTATTTTTTCATTTTTGAACATCTTCTTTTGTTTAGAGAGAGTTTTGAGCGGAGTGAGAATTTTTTATATACACTTTATTCTGAGAGTTGGTAACAGAATGTTCGGAGGTTCATTCTGATTTAGTTTGAGGGATTCAATCTAAAAAAATCCACAAGGGAGTTGTGGTCAGATAAGTAGTTGTGTGAATCATTATTCAAGTAGAGTGTAGAGGGAGTCTACTGTAAATCCTTGGATGATGTATGAGTTGTTCACATTACTGAAAGAGATCTGAAGGGAGAGTGGGACGCTCTCCTGAAGGTTCAATTTTTAGTGAAAACTACTTCCGAAATTGTTTGAATCTTCATTACTGTTTGTTTGTTATATTTACGTGCAACTCTGGATACATAGTGTTCAAGTATCAAATTACAATTGGCACCAGAGCGGGTTTTCGTCTTCATTACGTAAGATCCTAGGACGTGTGTTACCTTCAAATCATAAATCAAGAAAGCAGATCGATATCCAGGCCTCCGCAATTGGACGGTTCGAACTACACGTATTGGAAGTCTATGATGAAAATTTTTCTGAGATCGCTTGGAAAAGGTGTGTGGGAAAGTGTTGAAAACGGCTGGGAGCATCCAGTCATGCAACAAGCACCTGATCAAGGAAAAGAATCAACGAAAGTCACGGTTCCTAGACCTAAGGACAATTGGACAGATGCCGAGAAGCTTCAAGAAGAAGTCAACTATCGTGCCTTGTATGCGATTATGATGGCGGTAGATCAAACATGACACAAGATGATAGTTCATTGTAAGACTGCGAAAGATGCCTGGCGGGTTCTACAGCATCAATTCAAAGGTTCAACAGCTGTCAAAGCATCTAGACTTCAACGGGTAACTCTTGAGTTAGATGAGATCAAAATGAGGGATGAAGAGACAATTGACATATACTATGCCAGATTCTGTGATCTGGTGAATCAAAGTATGATGCTTGGAGAAGAAATCTCTTATAAACGTCAAGTAAAAAATATTATGAGAACCGTTGTTCCCAGGTTTAGAGAGAAAATCACAGCTCTTGAAAGTTTCCAAAGAGTGGCGTCATTGGATGTTGATGAACTTCTTGGAGAGCTCAGGACGTTTGGAATCAACAACAATTATGACAAAGTAAAAAGTAAGGGCTTAGCTCTCAAAGCTGCTGTAGTCGAGGAAAGAGAAGAAAGTGATGACGATGAAGGTCTGTTGGCAGATGATAGTGAGCTGAAATAAGCACTAGCTCTAATCACGCAAAACTATGGGAAGATGACTCAAAGGCTGTACAAGAACAAATTTGCTGGAAAAAAGTGGAACAACTTCAGCAAGAATATGGTGCAGGACAAGAAAAGTAGTATGCCACTCTCAAAATCCAATTCACAACGAGTTGAAAATGATCAATGCAGAGAGTGTCGAGGCTTTGGACACTTCCAGTATGAGTGTGCTAATCTTAAGAAGAAGAATAAGTCACTGAAGGCAACCTGGGAAGATTCAGATGAAGAAGGCACAGACGAACCTTCTTTGCACACTAGCAACTTGGCAGTTCATACCTCAGTCAAGAAGTTCATGTGTCTTACCACCTCTCATGCTCCGACCAAGTTTGAAGAAAGTTTAAAAGAAACTGAAGCATCTGAAGATGAAGCAGATCAACATGTGTGTGTAGATCCAGTACACTTACTTGCTATGGAAAAGTGTGCTCAAGCATCTGAAGCTCTACAGAAGCTTCAAAATGAAGTATTTAGACTTTCAAGAGCAAACAGAGATCTGAACAAACAAGCATCCGCTTCCACTGCTACTAAAGAGTGTGAACTGGATACTGCAAAGGCTCGAACCTGCATCCTTGAGAGCAGTGTCAAACTTGCTAAACAGGACGAACTAGAGAAGGCTCAGACCATTGAATGCTTGAGGTCCGAATTATTCTCTACTCAGAAACTTCTTGCGGAGCGGAACCAGGAAATCGTGCTACTGAAAAATGAAGCTGATCGGCTGATGAACGAACGTGCTAGTATGGAAAGCAAACTGAAGGCAAGTTTTGCTGAGTTGAACCGAACTGTAAAAGTCGTTCGAGAACTGAATAAGGGAAAAGCATATTTGAATGAACTTCTCTCCTTGGGGAAACAACATGGTGATCTTATTGGAATAGGGTACACGGGAAAGGAGGATCATCCAGAATCCTCAACCGGGACTTCAAGTACACAACATGCTGGCCTTGGATTTGGGGAAAAACTTGGAATTGGAGGTGTGAACCTACATGGGAGACCTTCCAGAAACGTGTTTGACAGGTTTGTAAAAAGCACTATAAGTAAACCCCTATCCCCAAAATCTCCCTTAAAGGTTGATTCACCTATGCAGAAATCTGTTAATAAAACTCACCATAACTTTGTTCCTATCTGTCATTACTGTGGTGTAACTGGTCACATAAGACCCAAATGTTATAGAATGCAGCATGATCTTTGTACTGGTAATTTTAAGGGTTGGAATCAGTCTGGCATTCCAGTGAAGGTTCATGCCAGAACCCTCCCAAATAACCGTGCCAAAACTCATCAAGTGTGGGTTGCTAAGAAATCCTTAAACTGTTTTGATTTTGTTGTGTCTCTCAGGACTTCCTTAAAAGGTAAATGGTATCTGGACAGCGGCTGCTCTAGACACATGACTGGGGAACCTTCTTACTTGATGAACATTCAGTCCAGTTCAAATAGGCAAGTCACATTCGGTGACGGTGTGAGCAATAAGGTTATTGGAACAGGCTGTCTAAATTTGGGTGTGATATAGGATATTATACCCACAAGGATAGATCGGTCCGCTGACCGGTCGAAAAGGTCATGCCGCGAGGAAGCCAAGCCGAAATCGACCAATCAACCAGTCGACCAGCCAAGCAGTCGACCGATCTACCCTTCGACCAGATGAACGGTCGAGCAGCTAAGTCGACCTCGATCAGTCGACCACTTTGCGGACTTAACACTTCACAGATCGGCCTATCCACAGGCGGAAAGAGCCTCTAACAGAATTTCAGGAGAATATTCATCCCATGTGCAGGAGGACACGTGTCGAGAACTTATTGGTTGATAGCGACAACCACCTCTGACAGCCACCTCTGACATGCGCGCCGTGTGTCAGAGTACGGGCGGACAGCTTGGGTAGCCAGCTCATCAAATCCGGGCAGCCTTAGGGCAGGTATTTCACTACTATATAAAGGGGTGAGCCTATCTTCCTTAACACGATCATTCTATTACTCACTCTTGAGAATTGATTGGATATACACGGACTTAAGCTTCGATGGCTCTTCACCGGAAAACCCCTCCGGTGTGAGAGTTCTTTGTAGGTGCACGACGTTCAACTGGCTAAAAGGAAGGTGATTATTTGAGTTCTAGCCGGTCGGCAAGTTTTTTGTTACCATTTGGCGCCGTCTGTGGGACTTCGTTCAAAAAGCGGTGTTGCGAGGTGTTCAACTTTGTAGCTATGGCGGACGGAATTCCCAAGGTTAATTTACAACAGTCGTTCGATGAAGCGTGGACGACGGAGAGGCCAATGGGGCTTGGCCCTCCTTCGGGTTTCTCCGGTCCTTCCCAGACGCCGATCACACTCGTACCTGTCCCACAGGGTGTGGTTACGTCATCAGCGATCCCCGAAGGAGACGCGGACTCTAGTCGCAATCAGGAAGCCCGCGCAGCACTCGCCACCGCAGCCGAATCCAGGGGAAGCACAGCCCACAGGACCGGTGGTACAAGGTGGAGCACCGCTGCAGGTGGGAGATCAACGCCCTGGTCAACAGGTGGTGATTACCAGGCAGGAAATGCAGCAGATGGTGGCGAATGCGGCTGCACAAGTAGTGCAACATGTCACAAATAGCCTCTCTCGAACCACCACAGTGCCGATCGCCGTGGCAGGGGCACACCAGAACGCAGAAGAAGATGAATCCAGTTACGGAGGAGGTGGAGCCCCGCCAGATCGAGAGATGGAGAGAATGGCTGAGCAGCTGCGTCAATTGCAGGCCAATGTGGATGGTCGAATGGAGAGACATGCTCGAGAACACCCGTTCTCGATGGATATACTAGCCGCACCCTTGCCAGCTAGTTTCAAGGATACCAACTTGGTGTTCGACGGGACTTCTGACCCGTCGAGACATGTGAGGACATTTGAGAATATGGCTGTGTTGCATGGATATACTAACCCCGTTAGTTGCAGGGCATTCTTGTCGACCCTAAGGGGAAGAGCCCTTGATTGGTTCCAGCAGCTTCCCCCAGGCTCGATCGTAGATTTTTATGATTTTGCGGATAAGTTGATAAATCAATATTCGAGCGCGGTGGCGCAGGAGAAGACATACTTAACCCTGATGGCGATGAGGCAGGGCGAGAAGGAGTCACTGCGCAAATATGTATCCCGATACAACCAGGCTTGTTTAGAGATCCCGTCGGCGGTCGATGAGGTCAAGGCGGGAGGACTGATTAGAAGCTTACGAGCGGGGCCATGTCGAACTTCTTTAGCCAAGACCCTAGCTCGTACCTATGATGAGGTGTTGAAGAGGTGCAGGAAATATATCAACCTCGAGGAGACTGAGGCAGAGTTTGCCAAGCTGAAGAAACTAGGTCGTACGGAATCAAAGAAGGAGAAGGCAGCTTCGCCGAAAATGAGGGGTTCGCCCAGGAGGGAAGGGCGAGCTAAGCAGGATCGAGGGCGTGAGGAAAGGTGAAAGGATCAGCCTCTCTCGGGAGGGAAGAGGTTCCATGACTATACCCCGTTCAATGTGAAGGTGGCCGAAGTCTTGATGGCTATGGAGAAGGGGATCGATGGAAAAGATGTGACGTCGCCTAGATCGAGATTTGAGGGGCCAACCCAGCCTAAGTCGATGAGGTACTGCCGTTTCCACAAAGACTATGGTCATACCACCGAGGATTGTCGGCATCTCAAAAATGAAATCGAGCGCCTTATTCGGGCAGGGCATCTTTAGGAGTTCGTTTACCAGGATAGAGCGAGGGGGAAGGAGAAGAGGAAGTGCCGTGAGGAATCGGTGGAAAGGAGCGATCGCGATGAAGATGAGGAGATGGATCCTCGAGGAGGTCGAGATGGTCGAAGGAGAGATGAGGGAAAAAGGAGACGAGGAAGCAGAGATCGAGAGAGGCAAGGAGAGGGAGGCCAGGTGAAAAGAGGCACGATATATATGATTTCGGGTGGACCAACGGACGGGTACTCGAATAATGCTAGGAGAGGGCATGTTCGAGCGATGAAGAGGAAGAGAGAGAAAGTGGGTATCATGGCCCGAGTAACAGAAATCAGCTTCGAGCGGAGGATGCAGAAGGGGTGGTGATACCTCATAATGATGCCTTGGTGATTACGGCGGAGGTTGCAGGGTTTGATGTGAAGAGAGTATTTATAGACACGGGAAGTTCGGTCGATGTCATGTTCTATGATTGTTTTGTGCAAATCAACCGGGAACCGAATGTTGAGTTGAAGCCGGTGGCTACGGCCTTGTACGGTTTTAACGGCGGGGAAGTCATGCCAATTGGCAAGGTAAGTCTATCGGTGGCCTTAGGAAAAGGAGTGACCCAGAAGGTTAGGATGGTTCGATTTGTGCTGGTCGGAGCTGAATCATCCTATAATATTATTATGGGGAGAACGAGCTTGAACGCTGTCCAGGCGGTCGTATCAACGTACCATATGACGATCAAGTATCATGTGGGTGAACACGTTGGTGAGGTCGCAGAGGAACAGCTGACATCCCGAAGTTTCTATCAAACTACAGTGAGTAATAACAGGCAATTAGCCAAGAGACAAGTGAAGGGAGGAGACGAAATGCCGAATAGACTTGGGAGCTCGAGGTCCAGGGAGGATAGGACAATGATGGATAAGGGCAAGGAGAAGGCAGAGATGCAACCAGGAGGGGATATCGAGGAAATCCAGATTGTGGAAGGCAATAAAGAGAGAAAATTTCGAATTGGGAAGGAGTTGGAGGAGCCAGTGAGATAAAAGTTGATTAACATGATAAGGGAATTTTCAGATGTCTTCGCATATTCAACAGAGGAGCTGACCAATATCAAGGATAAAGTCATCGAGCACCGACTAAATATTGACCTCACTGTGAGGTCGATAAAGCAAAAGAGGAGACATCACGGGGTAGAGATGGATAGAGTGATTGAACTGGAGGTGGAGAAGCTCCTGGTAGCGGGACATATAAAGGAGATCCAATTCCCGGAGTCGTTGTCAAATACGGTGATGGTCTCAAAGTCAGAAGGGAAGTGGCGGAGGTGTATAGACTTCCGAGATTTGAATAAGGCGTGCCCGAAAGACTTATGCCCACTACCCAGAATCGACCAACTGTTCGACTCTACGGCCGGATGTGAGCTACTCAGCTTGATGGATGCGTTGTATGGGTATCACCAGATCCTTCTGGTGCGAGAAGATTGGAAGAGGGTCTGTTTTGTGAAAAGCCGAGGAACCTACTGTTATGTGGTGATGCCATTTGGTCTAAACAATGCAGGGACGACATATCAAAGGCTGGTGGATAAGATTTTTAAGGTGCAGCTGGGGAGAAACATGGAGGTATATGTGGACGATATGTTGGTGAAGAGCAAGGAGGAGATCGATCATGTGAGTGACTTGAAGAAAACGTTCATGACCCTGCGAAAATATGGAATGAAGTTGAACCCCGCTAAGTGCTCATTTGGGGTCAAGTCTAGGAAGTTTCTGGGTTACATGGTCACAAAAAGAGGAATCAAGGTTAACCCAGAGAAATTAAGGGCAGTGGTCGAGATGAAACCCCCCACGAAAGTGAAGGAGGTGCAGGTCCTAACCGGTCGAATAGCAGGCCTGAGCCACTTTATTTCAAAGGTGGCCGAGAAGAGTGGACCCTTGTTCAAAACACTAAGGAAGAGTTCAAAGTTCCAGGGAACAGAAGAAGCCCAGAAGTCGTTTGAAGAGTTACAGAAGGTGTTAGTCGACCTGCCACTGTTAGCAAAATCGGTGCAGGGGGAGGACTTGATATTATATGTGTCCTTTGGTGAGACGGCAGTAAGTTCGGTGTTACTGCGAGAGGAAGGGACGGCCCAATTTTCAATTTATTACGTAAGTAAAGTGATGCAAGGTGCGGAGAGGAGGTATTCGGTGATCGAAAAGGGTGCCTTGGCAGTGGTTGTCACGGTCAGGACGCTGAGACCATATTTTTTGGGACATAGAGTGAGAGTCCAGACGAATATGCCACTGGGAGAAACATTGGGTCGACCCTCCGTATCAGGTCGACTAGTCTAGTGGGTAATCGAGCTAAGTGAATACACAATTGTTTACGAGTCGAGGAGGGCGATTAAGGCCCAGGCCCAGGCCGACTTCATACAAGAAGGGACGAAAGAAGAGGAGGAGTCTGAAGGAGTTTGGCAGGTGTACGTGGATGGGTCGGTGTCAGGGGTTGGAGGCGGCCTAGGGATCGTGCTTATATCACCAAAAGGTGATAACCTTGAGTTTGCAGTAAAGGTGGCATATCGAGTATGAAAGAATGAGGCGGAGTACGAGGCAGTCATTAAGGAGCTTGATTTGGCCCTAGCCGGAGGAGCTCGGAAGGTACAGATACACTCAGACTCGCAATTGGTGGTAGATCAGTTTCAAGAAGGGTTCGAGGTCAAGGAGGGCAGAATGATGAAGTATGTAGAGGAGATGAAGAAACTGCAGAGGGAGTTCAATTCCTTCGAGTTGATCTAGATACCTCGAGGGGAGAA